TTGTAACACTTTTGGCGTTTAGCTTCATTATCACTAGGCTGAGGGGCGTTTCATTTTCACTCAGTTTTTTGCCTTCCGGACAACAGATTTTTTTCCTACGACTGCCCTCGCTTCTTTATATTCGTTCCAGACATACCGTTGACCGTTTATCGTTATCTTGTTGTACACAAGTGTGACTTTTTCACCGTTATCTCGGTTCCTCTTGGTGCTGTCCCAAAGTTTTTTCCGGGTGTTACGCACACGGAGTGAAATATCTTCGCCCACAGACACACTGGAATTCTTAAGCCTATAGCAGTTTTCCATTATTTTCGCCTTATCGTCGAAGCGTTCCGATTTGATATTCGCACGTGCCGGTTGTCGCCGCCCGCTTTCAGCGTCCATCACCAATAAATTCCGTACCATATCTTGCCCTCAACTACCAGCTGTATTAATTTTAGGATTGCTCGCAAGATATTTGCTGGTATTCAGTGTGGATGCAAAGCATCAACTGTTGAGCAATCGAAAGAAATATTAAACGACATACACATAGCAAAGGCCAGCGAAATGCAGAGTATGGCGCTTTTAACATGACAAAATAAAATAAAATAGATACAGACTATAGAGCTAATGTGCTACAGATCATACCCCCTTCCACGATTCTGGCCCGTCACACGCATATACGAAACGTCTTGCTCGATGTGCGACCGAATGAGCGAAGAGGCGCTAATTTATATTAGGGTCGGGGGAGCACTCAGGCATAAAAAATATCGCCGTGCGGTTGTCTTTTCTCGAATATGTCTGTTGAACCCGCCGTGAACAAAATGCTTGCCAGGAAGGTTTCTTGGTGCCGTACAGTTACCCTCTTCTGTAAATTCTGTAATGACATTTGCCACTCACAACCCATGAACAAAGATGGCGCTAATTCACGTCCCATTTTCCCCAGAACAATGTCCCTCGGGCACAACCACCTGTCGTGTCAACTATACGACTTGCAGATATATTCCATGAAAAGAGTTAGTATAAAAGCTCCCTTGCATCCGGCATTCCTTGCTAACTGCTTAGTGTGCTGTCAGATGTTGCTAGTGTGGAAACACGAGTTATCGGCCTTCCTATTCTTCGCAAAGCTTTTACATCCGCACGGCGATTCAAGAAATGTGTCCGAAAATACCCACAATAAGGGTTCTTCGACACCTTTACTCCCCGCCTACCGCATTATTTACGGTCGTAGTTGAAGATAATTATATATTTATTTACTCATTTGTTTCATCACATTAAGGCAGGCGGTCAGTTCACACAGGAGGACGAAAGTCCCTCCTGCGAACAGCGCATCGGCGCTTTGAGAATTCCAAAAACTCGCCAATTCTGAAATACTGACTGGTTTCGCTTTTAATGCTGAATGCGAAACCAAAAACCCCAGCACTTATCGATGACTTCCCAAATGTACGAGCGTCTGTGCATAAACAATGCATCCACTTACTTTGAATGTAAGCGGGAGGGAATCGCTACAAAAACACGCGTGGCACATGCAGGTACCAAATGCAGAACTCGCCCCACTGCCATCATTGTCGCAAACAAGCAGTGATGTCTGTCGTCTGCTTGAAAATGCCGCTGCGCTAACCAGGGATAAAGCTTTTCGCTGCAGTTTGATCAGCCTTCTAGTTTCGTGAGAAGGAATCATACGTCTTGTAGCGTCCGGAAAATTTATCCCAGGTTCGTCAGACGCCGTCGAAGTCCTAGGAACGCGATCACGCTCTTGCCAACTTTCGCCGCAACGCCTTTTAAACAACAGAAACGAAACCACCATTGCATGGTCAAGTGATGTTAGGCAATATTTTTGTCGTCACTTTATGTCAAAAACATACTAATGACACAAAATTTGCAGGTTTAAGACATCAATTTTGCTAAGCAATGACGCCCATACCATAATATTACTGAATGTGTTAATAGCAATGTGAACAAACTTTAATATTTTGTAGTTGCCAGATTTTCATGTTCACAACATACAAACAACTAAGTATTGAAATTATTTCTTACTACTATAATACTTCTGCATTAAAAATTGTTGATTTATTTGTATATCTTGTATTCATTATTATACAAAACTTTTTTGCTGTTTACAGTGTTGCCTGTTTTTGATGCATATTTATGAACATGGTTGCCTAGTTTTTAAACAAGCGTACTAAATATTCAGTTTTTATATCATTGTTTAAAGTTCTGTACACCGACGATAAATTTTTTTTCAAGCATTTCAGTGCACACCGGTGTGTTGGTTGTACTATTGTTTTAAACTGATCTTCGTGGCACACGTGACACAAATACGCTGCACACGCAATGCGCCTGTTCAAAAAGGCACTAGTCTGAAACTTCCCAAACGAAAATATCACTTCGTACGGTTTTCTTGCGAATACCATGCTTGTCAAGTTCTATTTGCGCTAGTTCTGCAAGTCATCTGTCCGGTATGTACACTTTGCGAAGCACGGTGAAAGTCGTTTGCGAGTCGCGGCCTTCCGTGAACGATAGTTATAGCGCGAAAACAAAACGACGACACAGAGACAAGAAGGACACGAAGACACGCCTTGTTGTCTCTGTGTCGTCGTTTTGTTCTCGCGCTATAACTATCGTCATGCCATACCAACTAGCCCAAGCTGCCACACTTCTTCCGTAAACGTTTATCACTTGGAATACGTGTTTTCCAAAGACCTTCACTAATTGCGTATCTCCGGCGTCTACACCTAGCAAGACGCCAATGAATTCCCATCTAGAAAACCGCCACCACTGTGCCTTGCCTCAGTTCTAGGACTCCCATCCGGCCTGTAGGTTATTTCCCACCCCAAGATGAGTAACCTTTACCGCATATCTGATGCTATCCTTTTGCAGCCAATGAAAAAAAAAGAGAAAAACTGGCAAATAGATGTGTACTATGTTCATGGTAATAGAGACAAATGCAAGACATGCATTTTACAATTATGATTACAATTATGATTACAATTCGATGACGTTTCTCTCGGAGAAAACTTTCTGCAGATTCTGTTTCTTTTTTTTTTCTTTGTAAGATTAGTAGCGCCCGCGTACATTAATTTGTAACTGAACCTTAGCATGAAGACATTTAAAACGCTGCAAATGCAGAATTTTTTGCACTAAACTGCATCGAAAAGTGACAGTGATTACTCGTAAAGTAACACTTTTCAGAAGCCAGCTTCGCCTCTTGAGTGTTTTTTTTTAATTTTGTTTGACATTAACTTTGCGAACATTTAGAACAGAATAAGAAGGGACTTTTTTTCTTGTGTATATATTACTGTTATCTTGTTTTTCTAGCTCACTGGTACACCTCACTACGTGGCGTGCAGAGTCACAATAAGTTTTTATCATAAATCCCCTCAATATTTAATCAAATCAACTGTTATGAGGTCGCGTCTCCAGTAACTCTCTTTCAGGTTATTTGTTGCATGCATCCTTATTAACCTCATCAATAGCTACCTGTAGAACTGCATTGTTCCAATCGACTTGGATTTCAATCAAGATTGGATGACCATCCTTCTCAAGTTTTAAAATGAATCTGTACAACACAGAGTTTCTTGTTGTCGACAAGCTTTGATAGTTCGAAAACTTATGTTCAGCCTAATGATGTAATATATGCCTTCGTCTTGTATCACTTTTGTTTTTATTGAGTGCCTTCTGTTTTTAAAGAGAGGTTGCTCACTTCTTGTTTTGTGTTTCACCTTCTATTTCACTTTCTGCTTCCAAAATCGGTTTAATAATGTTCTCCTCATTTCCTTCATACTTCCTTCTTGTTTGAAAGCACTGTTTGTGTCCTTGAGAGCATTCCTAAATTCCCTTTGTTTTACCCTCACTGTAACTGTGTTAACCTGTTCTGTTGTATTTTTTTTGCATGTTTTCGTAAGGTCATCCTCAGTAAACTGTGATCACTATGCTTCATCATGCCAATTACTCTTTTGTTCTGCACGATGCCTGGGCATGATTGTCACACATGGTTAAATCTGTTTTATTTTTCACTTTTACATTAAGGCCTGTTCATGTACACTTTCAATTTCTATAATTCCTCAAAAAGGTATTCATTAGATACAAAGTACCGCTTATTTCGACATCTCTCCTGTTTTATTTCAGCATCTCTCCTGCTATTGATACCAACATTACCAACTGCTTGTTCTTCTTCCCCTTGTCTTCATACTGTTCCATTCAAGTCATCAATGACTGTAGCACAATGGGCTTGTGCCTTTTTCATTGCCAATAGAAAATGCTCATGAACTGGTCTACATCTATGGCTGCATACACCTATACCTTCATCCATGCATGCCTAATTTAGAGGGGTCCTGAAGATTAAACTTACTGATGTTCAATTTCCTGTTCACAGCCCTAGGTTTTTTTAATTCCTCGACCTCAGGCAAACCTGATAATCACTGCATATTGTAATTCATTGAGGGTCTCTCTGTTGTTTTATTTGCAGTATTAAAGCGTGAAATGTGCCTTGTATCAAAAAGAACTCTATTTGGGAAGACGTGATTTGCTTTCAGTACAAGCTAGGCATTCAAGTTGTGCGGTGGAGCCCATGCTGTCCCACTTTATGAGCAGAAGTCTTGGGCTGCCGGTCTATAGACGGGAATGAGTGAGTGAAACGAGTTCCAAAGTTTTTGGAAAAACATGCTTTTTATATCTATCACTGTCCTCTCACAGTGCTCTTGGTAAAGTGTAGTAATGCATCATGAATATGACATCCACAATTACTTCCTTCAGCACGAAATTTTTATGATTCTGTCTTATTTGGCACGTTTTCAATACGAGAATTGCCATTCTGTCAACGCCGCGACAATTTGGTACAGAATAGATGAGATTGAACTCCGTGGACAGGTATTGAAAAAATATATATATATAAGTTAATAATTTATTGGTCTTTTCTGTATTAAATTGGCATAGAGATCTACAGAATTACATTAATTGGAGTCTACATGTCCAATTCGAACAAGTTCCTTTACAAGAAATATTGCTGCAGTCGAGAAACAAAACTAACATATTTGGTTATTTTGCTGTTTTATAAAAACTCGTAATTGCGCCAAGTTTCATTTGCTCTAATTCTATAAAAGTTATTTACTCTATTTACCCCACTTAATAGAAGAATTAGCACAATATGCTAAGATTGAAAATGTTCAATTTCAATGTGGAAATATTTCTGGTTTAATACTCTAGCTAGAAAGGGTCCTTTTTTTCCTCTAACAGGCCCAAATGGCAAATGTTTGTTGAGATTGTGCTCGGTTAGAAACCTTAATCAAAAGATACAGGACTACTGACTGAATTGATTCTAGGCATGTTGTGAATAACTGTTTCATAATTCACCTTCAAATTTTGGTGCAAAGAATTTGTGTTATATTGCGTGTATCTATCAATGCATAAAAAAACCAACTTCTACCTTCCTTAGGCATCACTGTCTAGGCCTGTACAGCTGCCGCCACGTCTGTGTAGCGCAGGCAAGCAGGCGGTTTTTGCTCTGTGGGGCAAAACCTTGAGGCAATATCAGGCTCTGATCTGGTCAGCCTTGCAACTAGGACACGAACGCTCCTGGTACATCACTTTATAAACCAAACTGTATCAAGTTTTCGCGCCACGAAGCAAAAACTGGCTGTTGGCGTGCTCTACATAGACGTGGCCACGACTGTACATAACGCTTCCGCACAAGCTGGAAGCTTGCAAGTGTTTGTGCGCCTCCAGGTATTTTTATACATTGCAAATATTTTGCAAGCGCTCTCACTCCACAAATGACATGAGTGCAATGTAGAGCAGAGCACATGCATTGATGCTGAAGTCATCCGTTTATAGAATTGTGTGTGCATTTCAATGAAGTTAGAGAAGGGGCTCTAACGAGCAACACTGTATGAAATTAGTGGTTAGGCATGGATATCATGGTATGCATAATTTATCAAGAGATGGAAAATTTGGTCATTTTCACCTAAATTTAGCTGGATACAGCAGGCTCAATTTCTTGATAGTATAGCGCAATTGAAAGTGTGATTGCCCAATTGCATCCACAATGTGATATCAAAAGTGAAGGCAGATTCACATTCTGCAGTAAATTTTCCTGGAATACAGAAGTCATTCATCTTCTTGAGTTTGTAGCACACAAACAAGTTTTACAAAGTAATTTAATGGTTCTACTGTAATTTCTCCTTGCTCAAATACTACCACTGCAATCCCAGAGGCACATAATGAGCTGATGACAAGATTGACAAAATGAAAGTTTAAATTGAAGTTTGATAAGGTACAGAAGCAGCACTTGCACAACTACACACCAGCTGAGTAGGCACAGTTTGAGAGAAGGGCAGCACTTGAGCATCAAGGTTCTTCTCATGGCATATTTTTTTATGCACAAAGAACAATTTTTTATTCAATCGCACCAACAAAATTACTTTTACAGAACTCGCGTGACCTCTTCATCTATTGTGCAAACTTGGACAATTGTTGACTCGTGAGACATTTACCAATACATTTTCGATACTTATAAATCTAAATAAAAAACACCTCATGCTTATGTGTTTTCTTTTTTAAAAATTGGCTGCCTACTGAATGATTTCATTAGTTTGTTCTCCTTGATTCCCTTCATATATATATCAAGGGAGCAGCAGGATTATATCAGATAGTTTACAGCGGTAGCCTCCTAATTGATCGTCACAATATTATGTCCAGTGGTCCTTCAACTGATGTGCCTTAGGCATTCACTCAAAACCTAGCAATTCTACTCCCCCCTTCCTCCCTTGAACACATGCATGCATGTCCTGCTGCGCTGCATCAACATCCTCTTGCGTGTCAGTTGATATGTTGCCGTTAATCGTAAATGTTTTCGTAGATCAGTTATATACTCTAACCTCGATATAACAAACCCAGATATAACTAATATTTGTTATGACGAAATAAATAAAGAACAGTTTTACAATATTTATAGTGCTAGCTAGACTATACTTTTATAACGAGCTTTCAGTTTAACAAACTTATTTTGTATAATATCAACTTCGTTATAATGAGGTTTTAGTGCACCTCTTCTTATTATATTTGCTGTGATGAAACTGCATAAATAGGCTGTGAGTCAGTGGCGTAACTAAGGGGGTGCAAGGGTACAAGGACCCCGGGCGTCATTTTTGAGGGGGCGCTGAGCCAAGTCTGCTCAACATGTACTCTGGGACCTTCTGAAGTACCAAACAGAATGCTAGCTCCCCTCGCCCAGTGGGAGGGTCACCCTTCAAGTTCACTCTTCAGTGAGGGCATGCCATCACTCTGTTTCAACACTCCCTTCCTCAACTTATTCTCTGCTACTACTACATTTGAAGCTAGAGGCTAAATGGTGCTCCTCACCTTCAACAAACAAAACGCAATCTTTTGGGAGCCTGTGGCTTCTGGGAACTTGTGGATCATATGATCAAGAAGCGTGTGGCTCTTTTGTCATAGACAAGTCTGTAAAAGCAATAAGATAAATAGGTTGGTGTTGGCCTGTTTCAACATGAGCACAATTTTAGTTGTGAACATATGTATCCTGGGCAGTAGACAGAAACTTTTTGCTGGAGTTCTGACTTCTCTATATTGGTGATCTAGCATATGTTTGTGCACATTATGTATCATCATCATCAGCCTGACTATTTCTACTGCAGGAGAAAGGCCTCTCCCATGTTCTGATAGTCAACTCGGTCCTGTGCTTGCTGCTTTCATTTTGTTCAAGCAAACTTCCTAATCCCATCTGCCCACATAACTTTGTGCACTCCCTTTTAACCCGCTTCCCTTTTCAGGGAAACCAATTGGTTATCCTTAGTGACCAGTGGTTATCCTGCCTACGCGATAGATGTCCGGCCCCTGTTCATTTCTTCTTCTTGATTTCAACTATGATACCCTTAACCTCGGTTTGTTACCTGATTCACTCTGCTCTCTTCTTGTCTCTTAATGGTACAGCTATCATTTTTCTCTTTATCGCTCACTGCATCATCTTCAATTTAAGCTGAACAAGCCTCCAGGTTTTGGTTCGTAGGTAAGTACCGGCAAAATGAAGCTGTTACATACTTTCCTCTTGAGGGATAGTGACAATCTATCAGTCATAATTTGAGAGTGCTTGTTGAATGAGCTCCAACCCATTCCTAATTCTTCTAGTTACTTCAATCTCGTGGTTCAGCTCCGTGGTTATTAGCTGTCTTAAGTAGACGTGGTCTTTTACAACTTCAAGTGTACTATTACCCATCTTGAAGCTCTGTTCTCTTATGAGGTTGTTGTACATTATTTTCGCTTTCTGCAGTAGAACTTTAAGACCTACCTTCCTGCTCTCCTTGTCTGATTCAATAATCATGATTTGCAATTTGTCCCCTGAGTTACTCAAAAATGCAATATCATCTGCAAAGCACAGGTTACTAAGGTATGCTCCATTCATTCTTATGTAACCCTTCCCATTCTAGGCCTTTGAAAACCTCTTATAAGCACGTGGTAAATAGCATTGCCGAAATTGTATCCCCTTGTCTTACACCCTTTTTGATTGGTATTCTGTCGCTTTCTTTATGGAGCATTATGGTGGCAGTTGATTCTCTGAGATTTCTTCCAGGAAGTTTATAAATGCTTTGTCGACGCCCTGATTCCCCAGTGTTCTGCATGACTGCTGATATTTCTACTAAATAAATGCCTTCTCGTAATTTATTAAGGCTATGTATAGTGGTTGGCTGTATTCTGATCATTTCTCTATAACCTGATAGATAGCATGAATGTGGTCAATTGTTTAGTAGCCTGTTTGAAATCCTGCTTGTCCTTAGTTGTCTGATTCTAATGCTGCCTTGATTCTGTTAGTAATTACCTTGTAAATACCTTGCATCTGACAGAGAGCAAGCTGATCGGCCTGTAATTCTTCAGTCCTTGTCATATCCTAAGCATTAAGATGATGTTAGCATTCTTCCAAAATTATGGTACCCTCCCCAGTCAGGAAACACTTTGTGAACAGGGTGGCTAGTTTATCTAACGCAAGCTGTTTCTCCATCTTTCAGCAGATCTGATGTACCCGAACTGAAAAGCAGCTTAGCTTCTCTGCATTCTCTCCAAGGCTTTTCTGACTTCTTCGGTCATTACTGGCGGGATGTCATATAGAATACTGCTAGTTCTTACATTACGGTCGTGGTGTTTTCTGCTACTGTACATATCTCTGTAAAAGACCTGTGTTATTTTAACTATCCTATTCGTAAGGGTAGTTACTTTCCTCTTGAGGGATAGTGACAATCTATCAGTCATAATTTGAGAGTGCTTGTTGAATGAGCTCCAACCCATTCCTAATTCTTCTAGTTACTTCAATCTCGTGGTTCAGCTCCGTGGTTATTAGCTGTCTTAAGTAGACGTGGTCTTTTACAACTTCAAGTGTACTATTACCCATCTTGAAGCTCTGTTCTCTTATGAGGTTGTTGTACATTATTTTCGCTTTCTGCAGTAGAACTTTAAGACCTACCTTCCTGCTCTCCTTGTCTGATTCAATAATCATGATTTGCAATTTGTCCCCTGAGTTACTCAAAAATGCAATATCATCATGCAAAGCACAGGTACTAAGGTATGCTCCATTCATTCTTATGTAACCCTTCCCATTCTAGGCCTTTGAAAAACCTCTTA